TGCCTATTCAATATTTATAATATGGGAATAATGCCTATCAGCTTTACTTCTTAAAGATTATGAGAAAAATCATCTCAAAACTACGTCGTTTCAATAAGTTTTTATTGAAAAAGACTAAACTACCCTTATTTTAAAGCATGCATTAAGGTATTTTTGTCATTTTTCTTCCTAAGTTTTTGGAGGTAAGGCGGATAAACACTAATTTCTTATAATATTTATAAGAGTATTATACAAAAAATACTGTTCTATTCAATATTTAGGAGGGCATTATATAAAAAATATAGCCCTATTCATTATTAAAGTTTAAAAAGCAAATCCAAAATATGTCTAACCAAATACAAGAAGAAATTGGATCAGAATTGATTTTTATTAATTAGGAAAAAATTATTAATTAAGAACAAATTAGCAACTAAGAACGGACCTTGATGTTCTTGATGTTCTTGATGTTCTTGATGTTCTTGTCTTTATACTTTTAATGGTTATGAGGGTACCTTAACTATTGGGTTTTGATTTTTAGTAGTCATTCTTACTTTTTATTTAAAAAAATGATATTTTTTACGATATCACATGACATAACTCACTATATGCCACATAATCTAATTTTTGATGTAAGTGTCACCAAAGAGAAGGATTAGAGAGCTTGAGGTGAAGAAGGGGAGAGTGAGAGTGGAGAAGAGGAAAAGTTGAGAGAAAGTGAAATTGATGAGAGGTTAGGCTTTGAGTATTTTATTTATTTTATTTATTTCTACTTTTAGGATTAGGAAATTGAAAATTTAACAATAATTTTTAAGTAATATAATAAAAATGAATAAAAAAAAGTTCGGGTCATTTAGGGTGACTCGACCCACTCATGACCTAACCCATTTGGGTTCAGATAATTTCAATTCGGGTTATTTTGGATTTTGGATTAACATATAGGACCCATGACCTTACCCATAACGGATGGGTTGAGTTAGATTTTCGGATTGGATCCAATTTTGCCAGGTCTAAATACAAAGAGCTTAGATTGCTAGTATCATTTGAATTATGATTTTATTTTATTCCTTAAATTACCTTCTAGTAACGGATTTCTTTATTTACTCTTCACAAACTCTAGATCCTTTTATAATTAGCTTGACTCACCCTATTTTACAGAGTGTGGGGATGTATGTGCTATTAAAGAAAAATTTAATTTATCTAGTTTTAGTCACATATTTTAAGTTTTGAAAATTTTATTTTAGACTATGTAATTTTGTTTAGAATAATTTATAAAATATATTTAAATGGTAAATGTCATGCCCCAAAATTAGGAGTAAAATAGATATCGTACACTTATGAAAGGATCCCACAAATGCATAAGGTTTAGAACTTGCTTAATTCATAACTAACAATCCACTAAGTTAAGATCCACAATCTCAAAAACAAAAATCTAGCTTTAATAACCAAAATTATGATTAGATCAAGAGTGCACCAAAAATTATATAACTTCATTAATAAAGTCATAACTATCTCTATGGAGATCTAGTCTATAAAAGAATGATTTATATCTCACAAATCTATGTCCAAAGTGAGTAATCTAGCAGGACTATCTCTAAAATGAACTAAATCCAAAATATAAGTGGTTAACCTTCTAAATCATCTCTCCCCTTGGTTTCCCGCATCCTTGGTTTCACTATCTGAAATGGTGAATGAAGAAAAACTATATGAGATAACTCAGTAAGTAAAAATATGGGTAACCCTCATTTAAGTTAAAACATACCAAATAAACAATTTAAAACATAAACCGAAGGAAGAATCTAAGTTATAAACCATGAATATAGGGTAAAACTCAATGGTGGTCTCCTTAATCAATCATGGCTAGTGTTTAATAAACTCCCACTGGCAAGCATTAGGAATAACCAGTGTACTATCCCATTGGCAGGAATAACAAGAATAACCAATGTACTATCCCATTGACAAAAATAACAAGAATACAAAATGAACCAGTTCTACAGATATACATGTCAACATATGCTAGCGTTTACAACTCCCATTGGCGGGCTTCAAGAATCATATGACCATATTGGAGACAAAACCATGCATGAGTTCAATAAGAAAATCCATAATTTAAAAATATGCAAGAGTTAACAGGAAAATTCATAATTTACAAATATGCAGGAGTTAACAAGAAAATTCATAGTTTACAAGCTAAATTTTAGATTTCTAGAACAACAAGTAGCTCCATGTAGGCATGCTCAACTCAATAAAAATAATAACAACTTCATTACAAACCAGTTATGCTCATGTGCTAATAAAAATCAGTTTAGGTCTTGTCACCATCTCAAAAATAGTTCAAAATATGTGTTTAAAAATTTTACCTTAAAATCTAAGGGCATTACCATAATTTTACTTATCTCACCTTGTAGGTAAACAACAAGCAAGAATTCAAGAACTCAAGGCTATTGAGGTGATTTAGAACCTATACTACATCAAATGAATAAACAAGATTACAACATACTCCATTTAACTAATAAACTACCCCAAATAGCAACACAACAGCTGGGTAGCAAGGTAGGGGGTTCCACCATCTGTAACAGTCCTGAAATGCTTGGAAAAGCCTTGAATAGCAGGGATTTTCTGGGAAAAAACAATAGTGAAAATAGTATAAAATACAAGCTAAAACTGGGCAAAAATGGACATCATTTAAGTAGAATTTCAGCAGCAAAAGTCAAGTAGCAACAAGGTGTTTTTTGTGTGTAGAAATCAACAGCTAAAGATCTAGTACAACCATGATATGATGTGGCAATAGATAATTTGGGAATAGAGCAGAAAACAAAGCAAATTTCTGGACCCTTATAAGGGCAAGTTTTGGTTAGATATTGAATTGGAAGTTCCAACAGATGTCACACCCAGAAATTGGTCAATCTGGGTTGAATGGTTAATAGATAAATTGTAGCCCTATGTCTTAGCTTTCTATAGGATCAAGAATCATCTTAATCCAACATCTACAGAGAAAGATATGATTAGAATACTAACATAAGGTCAAGCTACCAATTCCATCTACCTTCAGGAACCAAACTTACAACAGAGTTTTCACCTAGAAAACAGTTTAACTGGGTTAAACATTCAACAAAAAAAGTGTAGGGCTATCTCTTAACTTTCGATAAAATCAATAATGAACTTAATTTGATATCTACTGAAAGAGTTATAGGCAAAATACTATTACAAGGTCATGTGTTAGAATTTTCAGCAAAAGATGATTAGATTTTGGTGGTGCTAGATTATGGGCAAAAATCAAGAAGGAAAAACTACAAAAACAAGTCCCAAATTGAAAACCCTAAAGGGTTAGAGTTAACCCAATTCAAATAAAAAATGAAACGATGAGCAATGTGGCTGATTTCTTATCAGAAAGTGCTACCAAAAAATTGGGGAAGCAGTAGTAAGATCTGAGTTTTGATCAAAGCTCATAAATCTTTAAATTAGACTTGGAAGGAAGTAGAAAAACTAAATCTCACCTGATTTTTGGCGAGAAGAAATTGGGCACAGACTAGGGCTTGTCAAAGTAAAATTCTGGTGAAGGTTGCGGGGAAATCACGCAAAAGGCAAAGAGAAAAAAAATGGAAATCAGCCTTAGCCCCTTTTATCACCAGATTTTCTCTTGTAACCTTCCTTAGGTTTGTGAATTTTAGTCACTAGGTCTAGCAATAATAATTTTTGTCACATAAGTCCCCAACTTAAATTTTAAGATTCCAAAAAATTTTGGGATATTACAGTAGATTAGTTTTAATAAGTTTTTGTAATGTATCTTGTTAAGTTTAGCTAATTTATAAATTTCTATACCTTAATTTATGATTTTTCATGAATTTTATATAATTTTCATTTTTTTTTTTGGTATTATTTGTTAAACAAAAATTGAATGTAAAGAACATTTTTGGACTTAAGTGAATTTTTTTTAAAAAAAAATTTGAGGAACTAAATTGTAAGAAGAAAGGCAGCAATCATGGACCTAATGAATTAATTTGAATTTCAAGTACCAAAATGTTTATAAAGTTGAAAGAGAAATTATAATCCATTGAATTACAAGAAAACGTGTCGATCTCTAAATATACTAGGGAAAAAAAAATTAGAGATCAAAATTTTAGGTAAAGATACAAAATGTTTCAAAAATTAATCATTTGTATTTGTATAAATGTAGCAATGCTCTAATATATATTGAAATGCATCAATCAATCTGAACAAATTTACAGTTAAAACTTGATAATCTGTGTTGGAAGCAACATGGTGGAAGGCAAACTTAACAGCAAAAGCAATAACAGAAGGAGAGTTCGAATCTCACTTTAAGTTGATTTTTGCAACTGATCCAAATAAGAAGTTGAAGAAGACATTTGCTTGTTACCTTTCTCCACAACAACTGGCCTTGTTGCTAGATCCCTATATTTATCAACAGCAAGGGTGGCCTTTTGTGGCAACCATCCCTAATCCTTCACTACTCCCTCAGGGCAAGAGACTTGGAGTTACTACAAGGTAAGCAACATATTCTTAAGATACTTGAGAACAATAACTAACATAATTTACTACCAGCAGGAGAAAATAATATAAAAACTTTGCAAAAAGAGTTATGTCAGTGTGTTTGTGTTATTGTGTGTGTATTTCGGTGATCAGTTTAGGCTTCAAT